TGCAATGATGATGTCAACTTGGGCCAGTGAAGCAACGTTCTCCACAACTAGACTGAAGAACAAAAAGGACAGCAACTTGTCTGTTCCCCTTCCCCCAAATCCCCAATAAAATCCTTTAAAAAAATCCATATAGACACCCTGGGGAGGAGGGGCTTGGTCTCTTGGGGGGATGGGAGATTGTCATGTCCAGCGTGGCAAGGGCAAATAGGTTTCTCTTAAGGGGCGACGCAAATTGAATAAGAGCAAGAGACAAAAATAAGATTAAGAGCGAGACCAAGGGACTCAGCCAGAGAAGACTGGGTGAGCCCCGAATCGGGTCAGCGCATGGCTTTTATTGAGAAATTTGAAAAGAAGTGAAACTGTTTCATAGCTGTCAATCAATTTGTAACCCGTGACTTATGTGTGCCTTAAGACCTTTTCCATTAGCATTCCCTTTGTGTTCCAACACATCCTGTGCCTTCACACTTCCTCCACATAGCCCCAAGACACTTTGTTACTGTATCCTCCCAGGGGAGATAACTATTATCATTCCAATAGGTCCCAGTCACCTGAGACACTCCCCCAGAGAGAGCTTTACAGATATCATTCCATCCGGCCTCAGTTTTCCGACACACTCTCTCTACTAATGGGTCAGAGGCTAATGTAGGGGGTGGTAACGGAATCGGCTATAATGCAAAAGGAGATAGACTGTTTTATCCAAATTTGGAGGTTAGGATTTGTAACTGACCCCAGGAAAGGTGGTGAATCAGAGGGCAGGGAGTTGTTCCTCCATCACTTTCCAAGATTGTGTAAGTCATCCCTACCTGATCATAAATCCTGGTTTGTTTGTTTTTGAAACTTAAATAGCTAGAGTGGTTCTGTGGTCTGCCACCAAACCTTAATTGATACAGATTGTAAGAGACAAACCCAACAAATATTGTCCAAAAGGAAGTTACTGAAGAGAAATTAATATCAGACAAAGTGGACCTCAGGACACAAATCGTTATTAGGAATTAAAGAGGTCATTGCATAATGATTAAAGAAAGAATTCATTGGAAACATTAACCATTCTGAACGTGTGTGCACCTGCCTAATGACAGAGCCTCGAATGTATATGAAACAAAAAATAGCAGTTAAAGAAAAAATTAATAAATCAGTAAATTCGCCACAGTAAATTACACCACCTTTCACTGTAATTGGCAGCTCAAGCAGACAAAACTAGTAAGATGTAGGGAAAATTGAACAAGCTTGATTAACGGACATCTCAAAACTAGAGACTACGCATTCTTTTCGAGTTTACGTCGAATATTTACTAAAATTCACCATGTCCTAGGCCACAAATACTAAAAGAATCAGCATCATACAGATCATGTTCTCAAACTGCGATAGAACAAAATCATAAATCGATAATAAAACTAAAATTAAACCCTCCCATATGTTTGGAAATTTTAATTTGCAAGTTTAAATTTAGAAATATACTTCCAAATAATTGATTGGTCCAAGAAGAATTATAATGAAAATCTAAAAACAGAACTGAACAACAATGAAAAAACTACATATGAAAAGTTGTGGGATGTAGCTCAAGCTACATCCTCCTATATTAGGAGGAAATATATAGCCTTAAAATGAAAAAGATGAGCACCAACTGAGGAAGTTAGAAAAACCACAGTAGAATAAACCCAAAGAAAGCAGAAGGAAGGAAATCACAAAGAGAGCAGGAATTAATGAAATAGAAAAAAGAAAGATCAATAAAAACAAAAGTTGATTCTTTGAAATTAGCAAACTAGGCAAGCCTCTGGCAAGAACGAAAGGAGAGAAGACACAAATAAATAATGCTTGGAAGGAAAAGAGGAAAATAACCACAGACCCAACAGCCGTTTCAAACCTAATGGAAGACTGGGAAGCATGGGAGCTTGAACACCTGTGTGGTCCCTGCTTCTCAAAACACAGGAAAGTGACAGTAAGGGGATGAGAAATGTAAAAAGAAATCAATTCACCAAAGAAGGTGAAAGGAGTACCTACCAAGAAAATGTTGGAAGCTGGAAGACAAGTGGAAGAGCTATAACTGATTTAGGGACCAGAGCAAAAATTTAAAACAATGGTGGGAGGCGGCCAGCAGCAGGGACTTGTTTGCACAAGAATCGGAGGCACCAGACATCTCAGAAGAAAAAAATGTGCACATGTATTGTGGGGGTGGTGAAACAGGAGGACACGCAGAAGACCAGATTTTACTCTCTGGGGAATGAAAACAGAAGGCCTGTGGAAATGCCAATTAAAGCCACAGTGAAGTATCCTTTTATTCCCGTTGATTGGCAGGAAATAGAAAGTCTGACAATACCAAGTGTTGGAAGTGCTATGGAGTAGCAGGAACTCATACACTGTGGGGCAGGGGAGCGGGATGTAAGCTGATAAAGCCACTTTGGGAAACAATTTGGCATTTTCTAGTAGAGCTGAAGACTGCATGTTCATGATCTAACAATGTCACTGCTGGGTACGCCCTAGAGAAGGTCTTTCACAAATATACCGGCTGACATGCACAAATCGTTCATAGCAGCATTGTTTATAATAGGCAAAAGCCAGATACAACACAAATGTCCATTAACAGGAGAATAAACGAACTATGTTAGAGTCCTATGATGGAAAATTATGCAGCAATAAAAGTGAATAAGGGCCAGCCGAGTGGCGCGTTGATTAAGAGCTGGCTTGGGATGCCAGAGGGCCCCGGTTCGGATCCCACATATGAGGGCCGGTGACACTGCCCTCTACAAAACAAAAAACAAAAAAAAAGTGAATAAACTACAGCAATATGCATCAACTTGAATGTATGTCACAAATATAATATGGAACGAAAGCAACAAGTTACAGAAAAATGTATCCACCATGATTCCAGTTATATAAAGGTCAAAAAATAAAAAACTAAATAATATATCATTTACAGATAATTCATGTTTAGGACAAGTATAAAGAAAAGCAAGGAAAAAATGTTGGTTGCCTCTGTCAAGGGAGGAAAAGAGTATATGGGGACTTCAAAGGCATTGAGAAATGTCCTCCCACTTGCAGTGGGGACATTTGGGTATCACTTTTTCATCATTCTCTAAACAATTCATATAAGTGCTGTGTACTCTTTTGTGTGGATTAGGTTGAATAAGATGAAACTGCCTTTTTTTTATTGTTAGTTTCAGGTATACAGAACGAAACTGCCATTTTTATAGATCAAAAATAGCTGGATATTGGGCCGGCCGAGTGGCACGTTGGTTAGGAGCTGTCTTGGGATGCCAGAGGTCCCCAGTTCGGATCCCACGTATGAGGGCCAGTGACACTGCCCTCCACAGCTAAGATGCTGAACAACAGCTCAACCTGGAGCTGGGCTGCCGTGAGTCGCCGGCAACGGCGATGGCTGCAGCCCCTGCTCCAGTGGGTTGCCATGGGCTATTGTGTGTAGCCAGCAGCCAGCATGAGCGGCCAGCAGCCACTGTGAGCGGCCGTCCAGAAACCAGAGACTGATCTGCCTCACCCAGGAAGAGCGCAATGATGGTGCCAACTTGGGCCAGTGAAGCAACGTCCTCCACAACTAGACTGAAGAACAAAACGACAGCAACTTGTCTGTTCCCCTTCCCCCAATTCCCCAGCACTGTTCCCATCCCCCCAATTCCCCAATAAAAATCTTTTTTTAAAAAAAATAGAATTACCATAGGGTTCAGCAATCCCACTTCTGGGTATATGTCCAACAGAATTGAAAGCAGAGATATTTGCATATCCATGGTCATGTTTGCACTATTCACAATAGCCAAGAGGTAGAAGCAACCTGAGTGTCCATCCACTGATGAATAGGTAAGCAAAACGTGGTCTGTCCATACAATGGACTATTATTCCACCTTAAAAAGGAAGGAAATCCTGCCACATACTATTATACAACGTGGATGAACCTGGAGGACATGCTGTGTGAAATAAGCCAGTCACAAAAGACAAGTGCTGTATGATTCTACTTATGAGTTGTTGAAAGTAGTCAAATTCATAGAGACAGAAAGTAGAAGGATATGTGGTGCCAGGGGCTGAGGGAGAGGAGAAAGAGAGCTGTTTAATGAATACAGAGTTTCAGTTTTGCAAGATGAAAACGTTCTGGAGACTTGTTTCAAACAATGTGAATGTACTTAACACAATTGAACTGTACACTTGAAAATGGTTAAGATGATAAACTTTATGCTATGTATTTTTACCACAGTAAAAAAATTGACTCAAGAAGTAACAGAAAATCTGAACAGTCCCATAATTATTAAAGAAATTGGATCAGTAGCTTAAAATGTATGGAGAGAGGAGAGAGAACCAGGGAGAAAATGAGACAGCCAGAGGGCTGCAGGCTGAGACACAGTGAGACACTGCCCCAGCCTGCCATAAAGGTGGCAACGGGGGCAAACCAGGGCCAAGGAGAACAGGGTCAGGCCACAGAGGACTGGGAGGGCCCCAGACTGAGCTGGGGGGTGGTCAGAGCAGGGGTGGGGGGACAGCCTGAGTGCGGTCTGGGGGAGAGGGCAAGAGACGACACAGGGTGCAGGAACTCAGCCCCAGTAGCAGTAGCACTATCTGGTTCAAGGTCAGCTTAAACTTCACTTCCTTCCCCTGATACCCTGAGCGCCCCTATACTCGATTCCCCTCCTTGGTGCCCTGAGGTGCCCTCCACAGATAGGCTCCCCTGGCACTGAGGCCTTATCTGTTGGCAAGTAATTCTGCCCAAGATCCAAAAGACTCTTGAGGCAGGTAGCAGTGGGCTTTGTCTCTCAGCAGCGCCAATGCCAAGCCTAAGCCTGGCACCCAGTAGGCACTTCGTAGAAGACTACGGAATGCTCTCCTGACCACCCAATGGAAGGGCACTCTCACCTGCTCCAGCCAGGTGACTGCAGCTGGTCCTCCGCCATGCCTGCTAAGGCCAGCAGAGGGCAGCAGCGCCTTGCCCTGCAGTGTTGGGCAAAGGGGTGGGCGGGGAGGGGCTGGGCTGCCAGGCCAGCCCGCCAGGATGTGCTGGGTTGGGCACGGTTGCATTGTGGGGAGGGAGGCCGGGGCTCCACAGGGACGCACTCCTGGCACCACCAGCTGCTCCTCAGCCCCTGCCGGCGGCCCACTCAAGTAAGGAGGAACCAGGGCTGGCGAGGGTGAGGGGTGCAGGGGCCTCCGGATCATGGGGACACCATCTCAGGGTGTGCTGGGACCTGGGAGAAGCCAGAGGTCTGCAAGGCCAACTAGCCCTGCTCAGGCAAAGGCCCTCAGGCGCCAGCCCCCACCCTGTGATGACACCTCCTGATGCCTAGGGACACAGTGCCCTCCCCCAGGGGGTGGCCCTAGAGCTGGCAGGTAGGACCCAGAACTTTGCCCCCAAATGGGAGAGCTGGCATTGCCAAGGGCAGGGCGCAGGGTAGGGAGGTGGCCCTCCTGGCTCCCTACCCCCACAGCCACCCAACCGGCCCAGCCAGGTGGCAACAAGCCTTGCTGCTGCCTCCTCGCCCTGAAGCCTGCTGCTGCTGTGCACCGTGGAGAAGGCAAGGACCCCAACTTGAGTGTACCTGCCCCTGCGCCACAGGCCAGAGCCCCAGCTCTGCAGCACTGCCCTGTGAGGGTGGCAAAGGAGCCAGCTGTCAGCCACCACGCCCTTCCCCACCCCATTTGTGGAGGGGGGTCTAGGCCCATCCTGTAATGGTGTTTCCCTGGGGGAGGGGGAGGGGGGCAGCCAGCTATGGGCTGGATTCCCGGTGGCCATGTCCCCCCACCCCCTCCTGTGCATCCTCTGCTGGTATTGTCCACTACCACCATGATGTACCTGGCACGACTTTGCCAGTCCCCGGGGGTGGGGCTGGATGGGGACATCCTGATCACTTGCTCTCTAGCCAGTCTTACTCTGGGCCAAAGGAGTGGGGAGGGGGATGTGGGGGTAGAAGGTCTCCTGGACGTGCTGCCTTTGTCAGTGTCTCCCCTGCTCCCAGCCTGGACAAAGGCAGGCATTGAGGGCCAGGGCTGGCACTTCAGCCAGGCACCAAGGATACTAAGGCTGAGGCTGGCATTGCAGGGACTCAGTGCTCTGACCCTCCCGTGGGGGCTCCATGGCCTTCCCTGCGCCGTTCACAGGGACATGGGGGGACACAAGGAGGAACTCTCTGGCTGGCACCACAGGGGTGGGGCTAGCTGTGTGGGTCTCATTTTTCTGGCTGGGGGGAACCCTGTCCCTTTGTCCCCAGATCCTGGGGGGGGTGTCTCTCTGAGGGTGGGGAGTGGCAGGGAGCCCCCTGGCCAGAATAGCCAGGGTGGGGGGAGAGCACCAGATAGTGGGTCCCTGGCCTCTGGACAGAGGGGACATTGTTAAGGTGGAGGCAGGGCTGCCTTGGCCTGGCCGCTGTTGACAAAGCTGCCAGCTGTGGTGGAGCCCGGCCGCCAGGCCCTTGGCCCCCCTGGCCTCCCTCCTCCCCCAGGGCCAGTGTGAATGGATCCGAGCCTCAACTGTCTCCCTCCCACTCAGGGCAATGCCCCCCACAGCTGTCTTGTTCCCGTCACCACTGCCCCGGGGCAGCTGAAGTGAGGAGATGTGCCTCCCTCTGTTGCTCCACTTCTCAACGGTAAGTGCCTGAGTCCCTAGTCCCCAGAAATGTCCCTGGGAGGGGCAGGGCAGGTAAAATAACAGGGGAGCCTGGGCGTGGGGCGCCAATGTGCTACGCCTCCCGGCCACAGCCCCTTTACCTCATCACCCGCATGCGTCACCCACATGCCGCTGATATCCCGCTGATATCCCGGGTCTAGAGGAAATAGCCCTGTTCCTGAGCCAGGCCCGACCTTCCTGTCTGTGTTACCGAGATAAGGGATTCTGCCTCCACCGACATGCCTGGGTGGCCAGGCGCGCCTCTCTGCTGGCAGGCTTCGGGGCGCTGAGTGACCTTGGGCTCGCTCCTAGCTGGCGCGTGCCCACATGCCCAGCTGTGCGGGATCCTAGCTCAACTTAGGACCCAGCTTCGGTCCCTTTCTCTGCGGCTCTGGGCTTGGGGTCAGGAAGAGGGAGGAGCAAGAGCCCACTAAGGCACAGGGGTTCTGCCCTGCGGGTGTCTCTCTCGACAGCTGGGGCCAGAGGCTGTGGGGCAGGGGCTGCTGCAAATGGCCCCCAGCTGGGCGGTGGGGCTCAGCCTCAGGTTCCCACCAGGCCCATAGGAGCTACCTCCAGTCTGAGCTCCAAATGGCTCCAAACGGGTGGGGAGCGGTGCCCATACCTTCTCTGGGCAGGACTCCCTTTAAATTCTCCGCCCTCTCTCCTCCACTGCCCTCTCCTCAGTCAAGCTCTCTTCCTGGCTGTCTTCTTCTCACTCCCTTCTTTTCTCTCTCACCTCTTCCACATCCACACTCCCGGTGCCAGGCCCCAATGGACCCTGGCTGCTGGGGCCCATGGGGCAGAGGATGGGGCTCCTGCACCCTGTGTTGTCTCTTGGTGCCCTCTCCCCCAGACCGCACTCAGGCTGTCCCCCAGCTCTCCCCCCACCCCTGCTCTGACCACCCCCCAGCTCAGTCTGGGGCCCTCCCAGCCCTCTGTGCGCTGACCCTGTTCTCCTTGGCCCTGGTTTGCCCCCGTTGCCACCTTTATGGCAGGCTGGGGCAGTATCTGGCTGTGTCTCAGCCTGCAGCCCTCTGGCTGTCTCATTTTCTCCCTGGTTCTCTCTCCTCTCTCCAGCACTCCCTCTCCCCACTGGCAAGGGTCCGTCTTTGCAGCTGGCCCTGGCTGCCCAGGGCAGGTTTTCTCTAGAGTCTCCCTAATTTTGTTGTCCCTCACTCCTCTTGCCCCTGTGCCATCTCTGTTGTCTGGGAGGTGGGCACAGGATCCCCCATGATGTGACTTTCACCAGCCTTCCTTCTCCCAGGTCCTCGTCTGTCTCTGGGTTCCTGCCCCCTTTCCCCTTACCTGGGCACTCCCCAGCCCTCTGCCTCCCCTCCTCTTTTCTCATCACCACTTCCTGTGCCCTGCCCTCCTCTCCTCCTCTTCATGGCCTCTCCTCTCTCTGTCACTGTCTCCTCTGTCACTCAGAGTCCTTCTGTTTGTGGTCTTGTGGCTTTTCAGGATCTGTCCTCCTTCAACAATCTAGACGCCTATATGAAGTGTGATCAGAAAATACGGTGAATGTTTAAATAAAAAAATGTATTACAGTAAAAGACACATTGCCATGAATGCCCCTCAAAATACTCCCCCTCGCTTTGAATGCATTTATCCCATCGTTTCTGCCACTTTCTGAAGCAGTTCTGGAAGTCCTCTTTCGTGAGTGTCTTTACTTCATCCTCCATCATGACAACGCTCCATGTCACACATCGCTTCTGGTACAGCAATTTCTGTCAAATAAAAAACATTATGGCGTGTCCTCATCCACCTTACTCAATGGATCTGGCAACATTCAACTTCCAACTCTTCCCCAAAGTCAAAATGACCATGAAAGGTAAACGTTTTTAATCGACTCAGGACATCCAGGCAGCCACGACAGTGCGACTAAAGACCCTCACGAAAGAGGACTTCCAGAACTCCTTCAGCAAGTGGCAAGAACGCTGGGATAAGTGTATTCAAAGCGAGGGGGAGCATTTTGAGGGGATCAGTGGCAATGTGTCTTTTACTGCAATAATTTTTTTTAAACATTCACCACATTTTGTGATCACACCTCGTCGTAAAGTAGAAGATGAAAGAAATTCTTTCCTTGTGCACACATGTGTGCACCCTCCCCCTCCATCTCTTGGATACTCTCTTTATCCCTCTTTCTGTACTCCTCTCTGCCCCTTTTCCCATTCCCTCTCTCTGTCTCTTTCTGCTCTTCCGTCCCTCTCTTTGCTTCTCTCTGCACTCTATCTCTGTCATTGCTTTCTGCCTCCCTCTCTCTGCCTCTCTGTCCTTCTCTCCCTACCTTTTCATCTCTGTGTCTCTTCTCAGTTCTCCTCTCCCTCTGGCGCTCTTTCTCTACTCCCTCTTCCTCTATTCCCCACACTGTCCTGACTCATGCTGGCCACGGGTGGGGAGGCGGTGCTCCCTCCCACTGGGACTCAGGTGCTTGGCTCTCTCCCAGGCCCCCGTGACGGCTCCCTGGCCTCCCTTCGGCCCCCACCTCCTGCTCGTGCTGCTGCTGCTATGCCCACCGCTGCCCCTGGCTCAGGCCCATCGCTTCTCTGCACTCAACACCACCTTCAACCACTTGGCACTGGCGCCCGGCCGGGGCACGCTCTATGTAGGTGCGGTGAACCGCCTGTTCCAGCTTAGCCCCGAACTGCAGCTCGAGGCTGAGGCTGTCACCGGCCCTGTCTTCGATAGTCCCGACTGCGTGCCTTTCCGTGACCCGGCCGAGTGCCCGCAGGCCCAGCTCACCGACAATGCCAACCAGCTTCTGCTGGTGAGCAGCCGGGCCCAGGAACTGGTGGCCTGCGGGCAGGTGCGGCAGGGTGTGTGTGAGAAGCGGCACCTTAAAGACGTGGCCAAGCTGTTGTACCAGGCCGAGGACCCCGGTGATGGGCAGTTTGTGGCCGCCAATGCCCCAGGAGTGACCACAGTGGGTCTGGTGGTGCCTGCGCCAGGCCGGGACCTCTTGCTGGTGGCCAGAGGCCTGGCAGGCAAGCTGTCAGGAGGGGTGCCACCCTTGACTGTGCGCCAACTGGCTGGGCCACAGCCCTTCTCCAGCGAGGGCCTGGGTCGCCTCGTGGTGGGAGACTTCTCCGACTACAACAACAGCTACGTGGCAGCCTTTGCCAATGCCCGCTCTGCCTACTTCGTCTTCCGTCGCCGTGGGGCCCGGGTGCAGGCCGAGTACCGCTCCTACGTGGCCCGAGTCTGCTTGGAAGATGCCAACCTTTACTCCTACGTGGAAGTGCCCCTCAGCTGCCAGGGCCAGGGCCTCGTTCAAGCTGCCTTCCTTGCCCCGGGCACCTTGCTGGGGGCATTTGCCGCAGGCCCAAGGGGGGCACAGGCGGCCCTGTGTGCCTTTCCCCTGGCTGAGCTGGACAGGAGCATGGAGCAGGCCCGGCGCCTTTGCTACACAGCAGGCGGCCGGGGACCCAGTGGCATGGAGGAAGCTACTGTGGAGTATGGCGTCACTTCGCGCTGCGTCACCCTGCCCCCTGTGAGTGGCTGGGCCCAGGCCCCACACCTGCCCTGTCACCTCAGGCTTTATGCACCATCTTCTGACGGTGGCTCCAGCCTTCTCTCACTGCCTCATCTGGCCTGGCCTGCCTCTCAGTCCCTGTCCCTCGTGATCCTGCCAAATCTCTCAGCCCAGGGCAGGGCTGCCACATTTAGTCCCGGGCCTCAGGCAGCTGGACCCTCTCATGTGACAATTGCCCATGACCTCTTGGTTAGAGGATGTCAAGAAGGGGCTGGCTTATTCTTCAAGTCTCCTAGCTGCTGTCTTTCTCCCTCTCTGAGGTGTGAGCTTGTCTTGCCACGGGGCTCCCTGGCCCTGTCTTCCAGCCTGCCTTGCTCTCTTCTCACTGGCTGCCTGGCTGTCCTCCTCTAACTATAGCTCCGGGCCCAGGGAAGTTACCTCCTGCTTCTTCCGGGAGCTGATTCTCCCCTCTTTGCCTGTCCAGGACTCCCCTGAGTCATACCCCTGTGGCGATGAGCACACCCCCAGCCCCATTGCTGGCCGCCAGCCCTTTGAAGCCAGGCCTCTGCTGCAGCTCGGGCAACCCATCAGTGCCATCGCAGCCCTCCAGGTGGATGGACACATGGTAGCCTTCCTGGGAGACACTCAGGGCCAGCTGCATAAGGTGAGGGCCTGACAGAGCAGGGGGCTGCCCTAGTGCCAGCCTCCCTGCCCTGCAGCCTTGACACTGCCAGGCTGGGCCCTGAAGTGGCTCGAGGAAGCCCTAGGTACCTTCTGCCTCTCAGCTTGTGTCCTGGCTAGCTGGGTGCCACCTGCTGTCTGGGTCCCAGAGGCATGGCTTAAGATGACAGCCCAGGAGCCTCCCAGGTAACCTCAATTTCTCCAGCCAACAGTGGGATCTGACAGCCAATGTAGCTGGGGGTGGCATGGAGGTGGAGTGGGCAGTGTCTGGTCCTCAGAGCCAGGATGGCCCCAGATGTCTCTCCGAAACAAACTCTAGCCTCCTTGTGACCTGCTTGTCTCCCCACAGCTGCCCTCTGGCACCTGAGGGCCTCACCCCTGCCACCCCAGCTGGGTGTCGCTGAATGGAGGAGGCAACATGGGCAGGCTGGATGCCCATGGGCCTGCCCCACCATCCATGGCCTGGGATCCTCAGCTTGGAAGAGAGCATGCGCTCTGAACAGTCGGCCTGTGGCCATCTTGAGAGCAGGCCTTGGCTAAGCAGGCTGGCCCAGCCCTGTCTTTTTCATTTCCCCAGGTCTTTCTCAATGGCTCCCAAGGCCAAGTGTACCACTCCCAGCAAGTGGGGCCTCCAGGCTCAGCCATCAGCCCAGACCTGCTGGTGGACAGCAGCGGCAGCTACCTCTATGTCCTGACTGCCCAGCAGGTGAGGGCTGTCCCGGGGGCTGGGCATACGAGGCCCGAGTCCTGAAACCCACTGCCTCTGTCCCTGCTGCCCATCCAGGTGGACCGGGTACCTGTGGCAGCCTGCCCCCAGTTCCCTGACTGCACCAGCTGCCTCCAGGCCCAGGACCCACTGTGCGGCTGGTGCATCCTCCAAGGCAGGTGAGCTCGGGGCCTGTGCCCAGGCTTGAGCCAACAGTTGGTGTGTGCCAGGAGTCCACACCTGGAAGCCGCTCTAAGCATGCCAGGAGGCCAGTTCAGGTCCCTGAGGTGGATACATGGGGCCACTTCTCAGTTCTCCCACCCTGTCCGATCCTGCTGAACTGGGAATCTGGTCGGCACCTCCTTCCCACCACTGCCTAACTTGTTCACTTATTATTTCCCTAGCCCCACCTCAGGCCAGTCCTTTGTCACCCCTCCCAGGAATCCCCTCCAGCCTGTGCTCCACAAGGCAGCCACAGGAATCCCCATGGCACCCCTAAGTCACATCTGCATGCCTCCCTTCTGCAGTCCAGCCCTCTCTTACTCACCATCAAGGCCAAAGCCCTTCCTCTGTGAATATAGCCCCTTTCATTCCCCTTGCTCTCTGCACTCCAATTGGGCCATCCTCCCAACCCCCTTGTCACCAGTCACCCAGGGAGCCTGAGATCCACACAGTGACCCAATGAGCCCCTGCCCACAGGTGTACCCGCAAGGGCCAATGTAGGCGGGCAGCCCAGCCTAACCAGTGGCTGTGGAGCTATGAGGACAGCCACTGCCTGCATGTGCAGAGCCTGCTGCCGGCCCATCACCCCCGCCAGGAGCAGGGCCAGGTGAGACTCCTGCCACCACCTGTCTGTGAGGGATGCCCCCAGGGTGCTCCTGTCCCCCTCTTCTCCCACTGCCTCTGCCCCTACCCGCTCTGCTCTGGCTCCATCTCCCTTGATGAGTTGCTCCCCCGCCCCCTGAGAAGCCCCTGCCTGCTCTGTTTTCCTCGACCGTGCCCTAGGTGACATTGTCTGTCCCCCGGCTGCCCACCTTGCCTATGGATGAATACTTCCATTGTGCCTTTGGAGACTACGACAGCTTGGCTCATGTGGAAGGGCCCCATGTGGCGTGTGTCAGCCCTCCTCAAGACCAGCTGCCACTTAACCCTCCAGGCACAGGTGAGGGGTCCCTGGGGCAGGCATCTAGGGCAGGAACTAGAGGGGCAGAAGGCACATGACCTGCCCTGCCATCACCATCCCCTCTTAGACCATGTCACGCTGTCCCTGGCCCTGATGTTTGAGGACGTGGTTGTGGCTGCCACCAACTTCTCCTTCTACGACTGCAGTGCTGTTCAGGCCTTGGAAGTGACTGCCCCGTGAGTGCTGGGCCTGGCTTCTGGCTGGGGGTGGCAACCTCAGACAGTGCCCAGCCTGAGCAGCCCCTGCTCCTCCAGGTGCCGCGCTTGTGTGGGCAGCCTCTGGCGATGCCACTGGTGCCCCCAGAGCAGCCGCTGTGTATATGGCGAGCAATGTCCAGAGGGCCAGAGGACCATCTATAGCACCCAGGAGGTGGGTGAACCTCGTCTGTGGGCCTCTGCTTGCCCAGTGGCCAGCCTGGCACTTTCACTGCCACTGCAGACCCACTCCGCCCTACACCCTGCCCAGGCCCCTCAACTTCTGAAAGGCTAACAGATCTCCTTTTCCCAGGTGGACATCCAGATGCGTGGCCCAGGGGCTTGTCCTCAGGTTGAGGGCCTGGCGGGACCCCTCCTGGTGCCCGTGGGCTGGGAGAGCCGTTTGGCCCTGAGAGTAAGGAACCTTCAGCATTTCCGAGTGAGCAATCTGGTGGGCAGGGAATGGGGACAGGGAGTGGGGGAAGCTGACAATGTCCAGGACCCTGACAATGTCTACCCCCAGGGCCTGCCAGCCTCCTACCACTGTTGGCTAGAACTGCCCGGAGAACTACGGAAGCTATCAGCCTCCCTAGAAGAGATGACTGGGGATGCAGGCCTCATCTACTGCCAGGCCCAGCAGGTGAGCAGCCACCCCACAGCCTCACCGGCCACTAGATGCCTCTTGCAGCTCTCAGATGCCCCTAAACCCCATGCCTCCCAGCTTGTCCCAGGCCCTCAGGGGCTCACCCTCTTTCTCCCATTGTCACGAGGCCTGCTGTGAGCAGCAGGAACACGGTGCCCACAGCCTGTGCTCTGGGCTTGCAGTCTGGTGGGAGATGTGGGCACCGAACAATGGCACCCATTCTGGAAGGAGTGTCCTGGAGGAGGCAGAGGTCAGGGGTGTCCCAAGTTGGGCCAGGCTTGACCCCGTCCTCCACCCACAGCTCCACCCCTCCATGGCCCAGAGGGAGCTCCCAGTGCCCATCTACGTCACTCGGGGCAAGGGCCAGCGGCTGGACAATGCCGGCACTCTTCATGGTGAGCTTGGGGGTGGCAGGGCAGATAGGGCAGGGCGTGCGGCAGAGGGGAGGTGCCTCAATGCGCTACCTAACCTTCCTTAGTGACCCTGTACGACTGTGCCGTGGGCCACCCTGACTGCAGCCACTGCCAGGCAGCCAATGAGAGCCTGGGCTGCCTATGGTGCAGCCACGGCCAGCCTGCCTGTCGCTACGGGCCACTATGCCCGCCCGGGGCCGTGGAGCTGCTATGTCCCACACCCAGCATTGACACAGTGAGCCCCCCAACCCCCACCTCGGCCTTCACCCCCACCCAACCCCAATGGCCCAGTCTCCTACCTCCTCCTCCACACTCAGCTCCGTCTGCCCTGCCCCCCACTGTCCTAGCCTCACCCTGGTCAGACCAGCCCTGCCTCAGGCTGGTCAGCTGGCCAAGTGCTTCCCACTGCAGAGCAGGTGTGGTTTTGGGGATCCCATGGCCATCCTTCCCTGCTGCAGATTGAACCTCTGACCGGCCCCCCTGAAGGTGGCTTGGCCCTCACCATCCTGGGCTCCAACCTGGGCCGGGACTTTGCCGATGTGCAGAATGCCGTGAGTGTGGCTGGCCAGCCCTGCAGCCCCGACCCCTCTCTCTACCGCACTTCTGCCCGGTAAGGCCCTCAGGGACTGGCCACCCAGAAAGAAGGGAAACTTGCAGCCAAGAAATGTGGGCCCTGGTCAGATTCACCAAAGGAAGATGGGCCAGGGGATGGGGTGGCGGGGGCAAGCTCCAGACAGTGGCTAGTGGGAGGCCCACAGCTCCTGCCAGGGAAGTGCTCAGCCCACAGGAGCCCTGAGCAGCTACGGGAATTCTGCTTTCCAGGATTGTGTGTGTGACATCTCCTGCCCCCAACGGCACCACGGGACCAATCCAAGTGGCCATTAAGAGTCGGCCACCCGGCATCTCAACCCAGCACTTCACCTATCAGGTCAGTGCCCACCCTGGGGTGGTTCCCACACAGGGAATAGTAGGAGGGAGGGACAGAAAGGCACGGGCACCTAGATGAGGATTTCAAACTTGGCCTAAGGGTAACAGGAAGTGTTGCTACATGTCCCGTAGGGAAACCATGTGATCCGAGTAGAGGGTGGGCTGGCGGCAGCAGCGGCACAGCCAGGACACTGCTGGTGGCAGCTGTCCAGAAGGGAGGTGGGCAGCCAAACACCAAGTGCAGAGGGCGGGATGGCCAGTCTGCGACTTGGAACTGTTGGGACTTGTTACAGGCCTGGCTGCCTGCGGACATTGGGATGCGAGAGAGCAGGGTTTCCTTCAGGCACTAGCCTGAGCCCTTGGCGCCTGCTGGGGCCATTTTGGAGGCCAAGATGACCAGGGCAGGAGCAGTGGGGAAAGCAAGGGCAGATTAGCATCAGGTTAGCATTTGCTTGGCACAGACAGCACCCTAAGGAGGCAATTAGATCTCAGGGTTTAGCACTCAGGGGGCCTGGGAGGTGCAAGCTGTGGCAGAGGATGAGGCCCTCCTGAGGGTAAGAGACACAGTAGGAGAGGAGAGTCCCATTAGCAGGGCAGGGTCGCTGAGAGGGGAGTTGTGGGACGACAGAAGCCAGGCACAGGGCTTCCAGAAGGTGGGTGTGGTCAGCGATGGCCCAGGAGACAGAGCTGAGACGTTGGCCAAGGGCCTTGGGGGCTGGAACTGAGGTGAGAAAGCGCCAGGCTGGGCTGTCATGACTGCCTTCACCTGCCTTGTCCCCCAGGACCCCGTCCTGCTGAGCCTGAGTCCCCAGTGGGGCCCCCAAGCAGGGGGCACCCAGCTCACCATCCATGGGCAGCACCTCCAGACGGGAGGCAACGTCAGTGCTTTTGTGGGCAGCCAACCCTGTCCTATGTGAGTATCTCTTTCCTCCTGGTCCCAGGCTGGCTGCTCTCGGCTGGGGATGCTCCCTGTGAGCTTCGGTGTCCCCTCGTGTACAGCAGAGGCAGTGGACTCAGGTCTCCCCATGGCCCCCATGAAAGTCCAAGACAAATGGCCACTGTGACCACCCCTCATAGGCTCTGCCCTTGAGGGAGGTAAAGCAGGGCTCTCGTAGGGCGGCGAGGCTAAAGCTAGAGCCCAAGATGCCAGACTTCTCTCCCCTGCAGCCAGGAGCCAGTGTGTCCTGAGGCCATTGTGTGCCACACCATGCCCCAGGCGGGGCCAGGAGAAGCTGTGGTTCGTGTGGTCTTTGGCCATGCCCAGCGCACGCTGCTGGCCATCTCTTTCCGCTATACTGCCAACCCGCAGCTCATGGCGGCAGAGCCCAGCGTCAGCTTCCGGGGGTGAGGACTGGGTCCACTGGGCAACCTGTGCGTTCTGCCTGGGAGGCGGGGGGGTCAGGGCTGAGATGGGCTGCACACTGCCCCAACCCCTGCTGACTACTATCCTGGCACAGGGGCGGGCGGCTGATTCGAGTCAGGGGCAAGGACCTGAATGTGGTGCAGCAGCCCCTGCTGTCAGTGTGGCTGGAGGCCACGGCAGAGGTGCAGGCTGTGGGAGCCAAGCCCCAGGACCGGAGGAGGAGCTGCAGGGCCCCTGCTTCAGCCCCTCAGGCTTGTGTCCAGCTTGAGGGGAGCTTACTGCAGGTGAGCCCCCATCAGCAGGCAGTGGGGCTGCCCTGGGACCATGTCCAATGAGGGGGTAGGGCGGGCCACCATGCCCCTGGGAGTGAGCAGGAGAGCCCCAGCTCACCCCACCTTGTCCTGGCCCCGGCTGCCTCGCAGTGCTCCACCGTCTGCTCCATCAACTCCTCCAGCCTCCTCCTCTGCCAGAGTCCCGCCGTGCCAGATGGGGCACACCCCCAGAGGGTCTTCTTCACCCTAGACAACATGCACGTGGATTTCGCCAGTGCCAGTGGGGGCCAGGACTTCCTATACCAGCCCAACCCCCGGCTGGCCCCCCTCAGCCGAGAGGGGCCCGCCCGCCTCAAGCCGGGCAACGTCCTGGACGTGGAGGTGAGGTCTTCTGTGGAGCATTTCTGTGCAGGGGCTGCGGAGGCAGGCTAGGTGGCCTGGCTGAGACCCCCGGTCTGCCTCCTAGGGCGAGGGCCTCAACCTGGGGATCAGCAAGGAGGAGGTGCGCGTGCACATCGGTGACGGGGAGTGCCTGGTGAAGACGCTCACGCTCACCCACCTGTACTGTGAGCCACCCCCACGGGCCCCGCAGCCTGCCAATGGCTCCAGCACCCTGCCACAGTTTGTGGTGAGGCTGGGCCCCGGGTGCAAAGGTGGGGGGCAGGTGGAGCGCTGAAGGCCCAGCTCAGCAGCCCTGTCCCCCCACCAGGTGCAGATGGGCAACCTGCGGCTGGCCCTGGGCCCGGTCCAGTATGAGGCTGAGCCCACACAGTCTGCCTTCCCTGTGGAGGCCCAGGTGGGACTGGGCATGGGTGCTGCTCTGCTGACCGCCGCCGTGCTCCTCCTCACCCTCATGTACAGGTAAGGGGCACTCCCCGCCACTCACGCACCTGCGAAGACTTCCCTCTTCACTTTTAGAAAGGGCACCCCACGCAGCAGGCCTCCAGGAAGGAGGCCATCCCGTGCTGGCGGCTTTGACCCAGGCGGGCTTGGGCCTGTGGCTAACGTTGGGTCTCCGGGCGGCAGGCATAAGAGCAAGCAGGCTCTGCGAGACTACCAGAAGGTTCTGGTGCAGCTGGAGAACCTGGAGATTGGCGTGGGTGACCAGTGCCGCAAGGAGTTCACAGGTAGGGAGGAGGCGGTGGGGCCGGGGGCAGAGGGCCCACTGGGCCTGAGTCCACAACTTGGTGGCTCCCGACCTACAGACCTGATGACCGAGATGACTGACCTCAGCAGCGACCTGGAGGGCAGCGGGATCCCCTTCCTGGACTACCGCACATACGCCGAGCGAGTCTTCTTCCCTGGGCACAGTGGCTGCCCGCTGCAGCCCATGTTCGAAGGGCCAGGGGAAGAGGGCCACCGTGCCCCTGTGCGCCAGGGCCTCACGCAGCTCTCCAATCTGCTCAACAGCAAGCTTTTTCTCCTCACAGTGAGGGCCACGCGGGCGGGAAGGGGGGTATCAGGGTTGGAGGCAAGGAGGCGGGGCTGGGTGTAGGCTGGGCACAAAGGGGTGTGGAGGCTTCCCAGAGTCAGCTTCAGCCCCAACCCCCCCCCCCACCGCCCACCTAGCTCATCCACACGCTGGAGGAGCAGCCCAGCTTTTCTCAGCGGGACCGCTGCCACGTGGCTTCACTGCTGTCCCTAGCATTGCACAGCAAGCTCGAGTACCTGACCGACATCATGAGGACACTGCTTGGCGACCTGACCGCCCATTATGTGCACAAGAATCCCAAGCTCATGCTGCGCAGGTTGGCTTTGGCTTGACGTTGGTCCTGGCAGCAGGGGTGGTGGCCATCCTCCGTCCCCAGCTCCCCATCACCACCACCCTGTTCTGGGGTGGGCGGAACCAGGAACTCCCAGGAGGGGAGCTAGGACAGAAGTCACTGGTAGGGAAGTAGACGGGCATCCTCACCAGGGATGTAGGCTCAAAGGGCTGACAGGCAGAAAAGCTCTGCATTGCCTCTGCTGCCCACCTCAACCCAGGGACAGGGTGGCCCTGCAAGATCCATTTCTGACCAGGGGACTGCTCCCTACAGGACAGAGACCATGGTGGAGAAGCTGCTCACCAACTGGCTGTCCATCTGTCTCTACGCCTTCCTGAGGGTGAGGGGCACCCTGGATGTCACCTTCTCCTCTTGCTCCACTGAGGGGCTGCTGTCTATGGCCTCACTGACCTGCACCCAAATTCCCCCAGGGTCCTCAGGGCGTGAGGACACAGCAAGGCAGGGTGTGGACAGGGAAGGGCTTCGAGCCTTTTTCCCAGCTGGGTGTGAGACAGAGGCCAACTGTCATTGTCCGCCCTTGCTCTATGCAGCTGGTCTGCCCCTCCTCACCCCCCACACGCCCTCTGAGCCTCACAGAACCCACCAGTCCCCTGGCTAATGCTGGCCTGTCCCGATGGTTGCAGGAGGTGGCTGGTGAGCCATTGTACATGCTCCTCCGGGCCATCCAGTACCAGGTGGATAAGGGCCCTGTGGACGCTGTGACAGGCAAGGCAAAACGGACCCTGAACGACAGTCGCCTGCTGCGGGAGGATGTGGAGTTTCGGCCCCTGACGCTGATGGTGCTGGTGGGCCCCGGGGCTGGCGGGGCTGCAGGGAGCAGCGAGGCACAGCGCGTGCCTGCCCGGGTGCTCGATACAGACACCATCACCCAGGTGAAGGAGAAGGTGTTGGACCAAGTCTACAAGGGTACCCCCTTCTCTCAGAGGCCTGCCGTACACACCCTAGACCTTGGTGAGAGAGCCCGCCTGCCTTCCTCTCCTGGGTCTGTTCTACCTGTAGAGGCTCAGCTCTGCCTTGCTCTGAATGGCAGAGTTGGGGAACGGGCTGAAAGCTGATTGGCTTCCCTGGGTCCCCCCAGAGTGGCGCTCAGGCCTGGCTGGTCACCTAACCCTGTCTGACGAGGACCTGACCTCGGTGACCCAGGACCACTGGAAGAGACTCAACACTCTACAGCACTACAAGGTGCGGGGCGAGTGCAGGCTAGGGGACAGGCCCGCAATTCTGGATGAGGCAAAGAAGGAGCCCAGCCTCTGTTTCCCTTTCCACCAGGTCCCGGATGGGGCCACAGTGGGGCTCATCCCCCAGCTGCACAACAGAGGCACTGTCTCCCAGAGCCTGGCCCAGAGCTGTCCCTCCAGGGAGAGTGAGTCCTGCAACCCACATGTGCCCATCTGCTCCTGGGAGCTTAGGCGGGCAGTCAGGAGCCCTGGTCATGCCTTCCCCTGGGTCTTCCCAGACCTTGCCAGTGGACCAGCCAAACGCTCCAGGCTGAGCTGAGGGCCTGGGTCACATGAGGGAAGAGGCGTGTCCTGGACAGGGAGCTCTAGGTCCATGGGGTGTTGCTGAGCAAGCCCCTGGGCTGCCGCCCTCCCCTCCATATCGCTACCCTCTGCTTTCCTCGGCTTCTCCTACCCTATCCCACCCCATCAAGTGGGGGCATAGGACTGAGGCCAGCACATGTGTCCTCAGACATCCCCATGCTGGAGGATAGTGAGGAGGGTGGGGTCCGCCTCTGGCACCTGGTGAAAGGCACTGAGGAGCCAGACGGGGCCAAGGCGCGGCGCAGCAGCCTGCGGGAACGGGAACGGGAGCGGGCACGGGCCAAGGCCATTCCAGAAATCTACCTCACCCGCCTGCTCTCCATGAAGGTGGGTGCAGCTGGGGAGCCATGCCCCAGGGGAGTCATGTAACTAGATGGCTCCCTGAGGGGCCCCTGACCGAGCTGGGGAGAGGGCGTGGTCCTGAGAGGCTGAGGGGTGGTCCCACCAGCTGATGGAGCCCCCTCCCCTGCCTTCCAGGGCACACTGCAGAAATTTGTAGATGACACCTTCCAGGCCATCCTCAGCGTGAACCGGCCCGTGCCCATTGCTGTCAAGTACCTGTTTGACTTCCTGGATGAGCTGGCAGAGAAACATGGCATCGAGGACCCGGAGACCTTACACATCTGGAAGACTAACAGGTACCTTGCCTGCTGGCCCCATCCCCAAGCAGCTGGGACATGGAGTCCCAGAGGGACAAGGACATGGCCAGGGTGGAGGCGGCAGGCCCTGAACAGGAACCCGGGCTTGGAGGCATCCAGCTGGCTTTCTGCCCACACCCTCAGCATAAACTCTCAGGACAGCTCCCTGTAGAACTCAGGGCTGGGGCGCAGGCTGATGTGTGCTAGGCTAGTCATGCCTCACACCCATGGCCGGCCTGTGTCCCCAGCCTGCTGTTGCGGTTCTGGGTGAACACCCTGAAGAACCCACAGCTCATCTTTGACGTGCGGGTGTCGGACAACGTGGACGCCATCCTCGCCGTCATCGCCCAGACCTTCATTGACTCCTGCACTGTCTCAGAGCATAAAGTGGGCCGGGTGAGGGCAGAGCTGGCCTCAGTGGCAACCAGGGAGTTGAGGAGAAAAGGCTTGTGGGAGAAACCATGGGGGCTGGGTGCAGAGACCTGGGTGGAGCTGTGGGGTGGGGTGAATAATGAGGGCCAGGGGTAGGGGGCACTGGTGGTGCGGTCAGTGTAACGGGGCAGGGCCTTTCCCACCTCGGCATTCATGCCTCCCCCCACCCCCCAACCCGGAGCAGGATTCCCCGGTGAACAAACTGCTCTACGCCCGGGAGATTCCTCGCTACAAGCAGATGGTGGAGAGGTAGGTGTCAGGGTGTCATGGCTGGGGGTGGAGGCTGCCCGCCCCTAACTGTATCCCCTCCCCCAGATACTACTCCGACATTCGCCAGAGCTCTCCAGCCAGCTACCAGGAGATGAACTCAGCTCTGGCTGAGCTCTCGGGGGTGAGGCACGGCCCAGGGGGGCACCCCTGCACATTTGGGGGGCAGGGTCGGGGGGGAGGCTTGGGGCTCAAGGCCCAGGCTGGGGCCTCACACCCCTATATGCTGCCCCCAGAACTACACCTCTGCTCCCCACTGTCTGGAAGCTCTGCAAGAGCTCTACAACCACATCCACAGGTATTATGACCAGGTAAGGCCAGGACTCTCTCGGGGAAGGGACACCTCCCTGGGGTCGGAGGAGGTGCCCAGGCCCAACCCAGCGGGCAGAGGGGAGGAAGGGCCCAAGTTGGGAAGGGGCTTGGCTACTGTCCAGATTCCCCAAGGGAGGCCCAGGGCAGCCCCCACCGGATCCCCCAGCAGCTGCTGAGATGAAAGCAGGGCTGGGTGGCCCTGGGCCAGTGGGCAGAGGGCTGGAGGCTCAGGCTGGGCACCCTTCTCTGCCCTGGCAGATCATCAGTGCCCTGGAGGAGGACCCTGTGGGCCAGAAGATGCAGCTGGCCTGCCGCTTGCAGCAGATCGCCGCCCTGGTGGAGAACAAGGTGACTGACCTGTGAGCTCAGGCCACAGCGGGCACCCGAGGCCCACCAGCTTGGAGAGCAGCAAGCAGGACCTGCTACCACAGTGCCTTATGGCCCCTGGATCGAGCCAGCGACCGGAAGAGGGGCCGGGAGAGGCGGGGGAGGGGAGGGGCGTCCCTGACACCTCTGCCCCCACTCCGCCCTTCCTCCCCCTCCGGGCTTCTTTCTAATTTATAGTGATCCTTCCCCTTCCCCTCCCCCCACATTGTATTTATTTGCTTGCTGGAGAATTGCTTCTGGAAATAAAATAGAAATCTGTCTTTTTAGTAAAAGCCCAATCCCCAGTCCCTGCCTTCCCCCTGGAGTCTACACAGCCCTCTCCTCGGCCCCATGGCTGTGACTTCTGCTGCTTGAGGAAAAGAGGGGTAATCAGGCAACCCCAGGATTTGCTCTCCTCCCTCCCCTCCCCTCCCCTGGCCCCTACAGGAAAGGTGTCCCTGCCCTCCCACCCCCATCCATGCCCACCCCGTCGTCCTACCAGTTCTTTTCCATCACAGGGACACAGAGCCAAATGTCCCCCATCTTGGGCTAACCAGTCACTGCTAAGCCCCCGTGCTTCACTCCGACTCCCCAGAAGTGCACAGCTGGTCTCCAGGCTCCACTCTTGCCCTCTCCATTCCCTCGTGGAAGCAACCAGAGTGATCTTTCCAAAGAGCAAAAGTGCCCATCAGCCTCTGCCGGAACCCCATACTTGGCCACCCGAGGCCTCCCCTCCTCTCCCCCACCCCCGCCAATCTGCGGCCAGTCCAGCCTTGGAGGTCGCCAGCCAGTCCTGCTGCCGGCCTTGCCCCAGCCAGGCTGTTTGACACCCTGGAGGTTTACCCATCCACCCCCTTTCTAAGGACCTGATTGATTCTTCCTGGTCCTTCTGATGCAGCTCCAACGTCACAGGCTCTGTCTGACCTGGACGTCCCTAAGTCACCAGCCCGCTAGAGCTGTGGGTTTGTTTGCTTCCCACTGGAGGAGGACCCCTGAGGGCAGGGCCAGGGCGAATGGCTCCCTGCGTCTCCCACAGGGGCACATGGCACATGTTGGTGGACACAATGGGCAGGGCAGCGATGGCAGGCTTGGAACAGAGCCAGGAGGGAGACTGCCTAGGGTCCCAGTGCCAGAGTCCTGGCTGGGCAGGTTCCCAGGCTTCCATTTGGCCCGTACCTCTGGTGGGAGGAACGCATTGCCTTTAGCTCATGCCCCTGACTCTTGCTACACCAGGGCCCGCAGTGACCCACGTTAGGAAAAGGACACCGGGCTCCCACCTATCTTAAGGGTCAGTGAGGCATAGGAAAAGTGGGAAGCCAGAGAATGTTCCAAAAGTGTCAATGGCGCTCTAAGCACATGGTGGGGGGTGGGAGCTTGGCCTGAGGACTAGGTTGCCATGTCTATGGTGTCCTTGCCTGGCTGTCCCCCTCAGCTGGCTCTGGAGTGCAAGGACTCAGCCTGGGGACCAGTCACCATGACCCCACGTGGGTAAACCCTCTTGGTCCTGGGGTCTGTGAGGGGCTGTTCACTCTGTCCCCACAGCGGCCCCCTCTGCCAGCCTTGGGCAGCAGTGGGAGGGCTTGTCTTGGGGGACCAGGCTCTGGGGGGGCTGCTGTCACTGCGCTGCCCCCTCCTCGCTGCATACCTTGCCCACAGCTGAGCAGCTGGGAGGCTATTTATAAAGGCGGGTGAGATCAGCGTCCGAGGCTATAAATGCTCTGGCCAAGGCCGGGCCCCACAGGAGCAGCCCCCGGGGCGCCGGAGCTGCAGGCTGTGAGGCCAGGATGAGTGCCAGTGCAGGCGGTGGCGGCAGGGACAGTGTCGGCAGCAGCAGCAGGTAGGGCTCGGCCTGGGTGCCTGGGGCCCCTGGGGCCTCATGCGCTCACTGCCCGCCCGACCAACCCACAGCTCACAGGCCTCCTGTGGGCCTGAGTCCTCAGGCTCTGAACTAGCCCGCACTGCGCCAGTGCCGCGGATGCTGCAGGGGCTGCTGGGCTCTGACGACGAGGAGCAGGAGGACCCCAAGGACTACTGCAAGGGTGAGGCCTGCCCTGGGGCACAGGCAGCCAGGAACTCCCGTGGGGGGAATGGGACAGCACAGGAGGAGGGTGCTAGTGCCAATCCATGTGGGCCAGGGTGCCAGCAGGGCGATGCCCCCCACCAGGCTTTATCAGCTCCCTTCCCCCAGGTGGCTACTACCCTGTGAAGATTGGCGACCTGTTCAATGGGCGGTACCACGTGGTGCGCAAGCTGGGCTGGGGCCACTTCTCCACCGTCTGGCTCTGCTGGGACATCCAGTGAGTGTCACCTTTGCCCCCCGAGGCCCAATGCCAGCTGGGATACTGCCTCTGGGCTTGGTTGGGGCCACCACGATGTCCCCATGTGTCTGGCCGGGGCTAGCAGCTGACTCGGGTCTCGGTGTTGCAGGCGCAAGCGCTTCGTGGCCCTGAAAGTAGTGAAGAGCGCAGGGCATTACACGGAAACAGCTGTGGATGAGATCAAGCTCCTGAAATGTGTGAGGCGCCTCCCCTACTGACTCCCAGCTCCCGGGGAGCTGCCTGGGGCCTGGCAGTGTGGGTGCAGGCCTGCCGGGGCTTCTGGGGTGAGGCAGAACTCCCAGAAGGGCAGGCTCCAGGTGGCTCTGCCCAAGTGGGAGGACCTGGAGGAGCCAGCAAGGAAGGGCCAGAGGCCTGCCTTCTAACGGGCCCCTGGAGTGGGAGAGGGGTCCGCCACCACTGGGAGCAGCTGGTGAGGGGCAGGTTGGAGCCATCTGTGGCCTCTTGGTTTTTGCTCCAGGTCCGAGACAGTGACCCCAGTGACCCCAAAAGAGAGACCATTGTCCAGCTCATTGATGACTTCAGGATCTCAGGGGTTAATGGTGTCCGTATCCTTTGTAGGCTAAGCAAAGCACCATGGCAGCACAGGCGCCAGCTTGTGCCTTCCCAGCTGCTAGGGCCTCGGTTTGCTGATCTACATGATGAGGGTTTATGCCTTCCACTGACACTTATCTTCAAAATACCCTCACTGCTTTGTTATGGGGGGGAGTGGGTAACCAGGTTGTTGAGCTATCCCCAAATGGCAGGGACCACCACCTCTGTGGCATACCTGGGCGTAGGAGTGGGGCTGGTCTGAGCGGCCGCAGTGTCTGCTTCTCCAGTGCCCTCTCCCTAGGATGACCACAGAATGTGCCATCCCAGCTGGCATATCTGAGAATTACAGAGACACTATGACACCAGGACGGTGGTGACCACCAGGCTCACACAGGCCCAGCTCTGCATTGCCTCGTTGCTCCCCGACCCCAGCTGAGGGTGGGTGGGGCCGGTGTCCAGCTGCATGCCTGCCAGCCACCCTTCACTCCAGTCCCAGATGTGTGCATGGTCCTGGAGGTCCTGGGCCACCAGCTCCTCAAGTGGATTATTAAGTCCAACTACCAGGGCCTGCCTGTACCCTGCGTGAAGAGCATCGTGAGGCAGGTAAGCGTCCCGTGCCCCACGTGAACAGCACTGGGAGGCAGCCTGGGTAGGGCTGACAGAGCTCAGGAGTGGCTGTCCCCAGGTGCTACACGGCCTAGACTATCTCCACACCAAGTGCAAGATTATCCACACAGACATCAAGCCTGAGAACATCCTGCTGTGTGTGGGTGACACCTATATTAGGCGCCTGGCTGCCGAGGCCACAGAGTGGCAGCAGTCAGGGGCATCGCCCCCATCCCGCTCCACAGGTACAAGAGCCTGTGTGGGGCTGGGGCTGGGCCTGGGCCTGTGGGCCTCAGCCCCTGCCTGAGTCTCTGTTCCTTTCTCTCTACCCCCTGTGCCCCTCCTGCCCCCCTCAGTCAGCACTGCCCCCCAGGAGGTCTTGGTAAGTTGGGGCCCCCCTCTTTTCCTGTCCCTCATCTCCCCATGTCCTCAGAGCTCACCTCCTCGGCCTCCCTGCCCTCCCCAGCACTCTTGCAGTGGCATTTCCAAAAGGCTGGGCAGCCCAGAGACGGTGATACACATGGCCCAAACTGCCCTTGGTGGCTGCTGGGCTCACCACTGCCTCAGTGGAAGGACACTGCATCTTGGACTGGGAGGGGCCAGGGCTGCCCCCCAGAGGAGGCAGGCACCCAGTCAGAGGCAGGCCCATCAGCTCCTCTGTAACCTTGAGCTTTGAGGAAGCGAGGCAGGAGGGAAGGCAGGAGGTGGGTGAGAGGCTGCTGCCAAGGAGTGTGTGCCACATTCCGACAGCCTCGAGAACCCTGGGCCCCAGAGGCCTTGTCCCCTGTGGAGGGGTGGGCCACAGGCAGAGGTCCCAGCTGGTCAAGGGATGGGTGGCAGGAACCCTGGGGTGACCCTGGCTCTAACAGCAGCTGGGTAAGCTGTCGAAAAACAAGAGGAAGAAGATGAGGCGCAAACGGAAACAGCAGAAGCGGCTGCTGGAGGAGCGGCTGCGAGACCTGCAGAGGCTGGAGGCCCTGGAGGCAGCTGCCCAGGCTGAGGGTGAGGGCCTGGAGGGGCCCCCACCCTGGGGCTGTTGAGTGCGGGCAGCCAGGGCTTCGACTCACACACCACCTCTGCCCCTCTCCCCAGACTCTGGCTCAAGACTAGAGGGGGGCAGCGGCTCTACCTCTTCTTCCGGTTGCCACGCTGGAGGGGCCAGGGCCGGCCCCTCCTCAGCCTCCTCCTCCCCCGCCACGGGAGGCGATCGCAGCCTCAGCCCCGGCTCCCAGACCTCAGGCTTCTCCGGCTCCCTTTTCTCTCCTGCCTCGTGTTCCATCCTCTCAGGCTCTTCCAACCAGCGGGAGACTGGGGGCCTCCTGTCGCCCAGCAGTAAGCCGGGCAGGGTCAGCGGGTGGCAGGTAGGCGGGGCTGGAAGGGGCCAGGCTAGCTCAGTCTCTCCCTTCTCTTCCTTCCCCAGCACCGTTTGGTGCCTCGAACCTCCTGGTGAACCCCCTAGAACCCCAAAATGCAGACAAGATCAAGATCAAGATCGCAGACCTGGGCAACGCCTGCTGGGTGGTATGAGCGTGTCTTGGAGCAGAGCTGGGTGCCCTGCTGTGAGTGTGGAAGCCCAGGCCCACTCCCAAAGGCCCTGACCTGGGCTTGAGAGGCACTCGCTCATTTGTTCAGTGAGGACTCACTCAGCAATCCACTTGACCAGACCCCACGGTCTGCCTCGTGCCACAAACCCAGGGCTGAGCCCAAACCAGAAGTCCTGCCCAGTTAACAGAAATGGGCCCATGGCCAGGGGTAGGGAGCCACTGGGAAGGGGCCAGCCTCTGCCTCAGATCGCCTGGCCAGTTCCCCTTGGGACTTCTGGGGACTCAGGCTCAGAGCAGGCCCCACTGAGCTCCTCGGGTGCATGACCCAGAGGTGCTGGGGGGCTGCTGGGGTAGGCCAGCTGTGGCCCCAGCTCCTCCCCAGGGCTCTGCTTGCCTCTAGCACAAGCACTTCACTGAGGACATCCAGACACGGCAGTACCGGGCCGTGGAGGTGCTGATAGGTGCCGAGTATGGGCCCCCGGCTGACATCTGGAGCACGGCGTGCATGGTAGGCCTGAGATGCCCCCACCAGGGCCCAGCCAGCCGGCCAGCAGCCTCACCCTCTCCCCCTTCCAGGCCTTCGAGTTGGCCACCGGTGACTACCTATTCGAGCCCCACTCCGGAGAAGACTACAGTCGTGATGAGGGTAGGGGAGGCATGCACTGGGCTCGGGTTCGGAGCCTCCTGGCCTCCCGGCTGCCTCCCAGCCTCCTCTCTGTCCACAGACCACATCGCCCACATCGTGGAGCTCCTGGGAGACATCCCCCCCGCCTTCGCCCTCTCAGGCCGCTACTCCCGGGAGTTCTTCAACCGGAGAGGTGAGGCTGAAGGGGCTCAGGCAGCCTGGGTGCAGAGGGTAGGAAAGGAACCTTGGGTTCTGAAAGAGGGGGACACAGACCCCGGAACCGGAGGCCGTGCTGGCAGAGCCTAACCTGAGGCCTGCTGCCCACCCCAGGAGAGCTGCGGCATATCCACAACCTCAAGCGCTGGGGCCTGTACGAGGTGCTCATGGAGAAGTACGAGTGGCCCCTAGAGCAGGCCACGCAGTTCAGTGCCTTCCTGCTGCCCATGATGGAGTACATCCCCGAAAAGCGGGCCAGCGCAGCCGACTGCCTCCAGCACCCTTGGCTCAACCCCTAGGCCCTGCTGGCTCCTGCCTCAACCCTCACCTCTGTGCCTTCAGGGAAAGTGGGATGGCTCCGGTCACCCTGCAGATGCTGCCCTCCCCTCCCCTGCAGGTCCAAGTTCTCACACTCCTTGCGGCAGGGCAGACAGATGCTGGGGCCAGGCCCACTTTCAGAATTTGTTCTGCCCCACTCCTCACAGAGGGCCATATGAGTGAGAAGTGTATGTGTTTCTTTTCTTAATAAAGTGTGAGCTCAAACGCCAGTGTCTGAGAGTGACAGAAGTACACAGCCAAGAGCTGGGGCAGAAACTGGTTTATTCTGGGTGCACAGAGCAAGCCAGCTGGGGTGCTCTGGGATGCTGGGGGTGGGACAGGGACAGCCTAGGCCTCCACGGCACGGCCATTGCTGATGCGGATGTGACGGATGATGTCCTGGATGGCTTCTGATGTAGTGCCCTGGCCCCCAATGTCCGGGGTGTGCATCTGCGGGTGATGGTCAAATTTCAGCACACGACAGGGAGCCACCAACACCGGATCCGTACCCTGCAGGAGGCCCAGGGCTGCCCACTGTCACCCATGGTTTGCAGGGGCTGGAACTGCCACCAGAAGGGCAGTGGTACCAGCTAAGGCCCAGAAGCCCTACTCTACCTGGTACCACCCTCGCCTTGGGGGCAGTAGGAAGTACCAGGTCACCATCTCTAGCCTCTCAGACATCACACCAGCTCAACCTGGGCTGGAAGAGGGGTTTTGGGGGGGGCGAAACAGGGGAGGGAAGGGGCCTCACATTTTCATTGTCCATGGACGCCAAGACGGCCTTGCGGATGGAGGTGGCATAGGAGTGTAGCCTAAGGAAGAAGAGTAGCCTTCAGTCTTTGGGGTGTAGGGGGCTGGCTGGGGGCTAGTGGCCGGGGATCCATAAGGCACTTACTTGAGGTGGTCGAGCATCATGCAACTCGCCAGCAGCGTAGCTGTGGGGTTGGCGATGTTCTTATTGGCGATACTCTTGCCTGTGTTCCTTGTAGCCTGGAAGAGGCAAGACGATGGAGGGGGTGG